ATTATAGTAGTACCTATAAAGATTATGTAACTTGATATCATACCTCATGATTTGAATTAGTTTGACCACCACCACCACCAAATGTACTAAATTTTCCTCCAATGTATAAAATTGAATCATTTAGTAATGTAGCACTGTAACCCCACGTCCCACTATATACTAGTGACGATAAATACGTAGACCAATATAGCTGTGAAATATCTAATATATTCATATTATGATTAGTAAATCCTCCATAAATATATATAAAATATAATTTTTTAAAAAAATTTACTATCAATATAGTATTAACAATTAATATTATTAATAAATTTTAAATTTATTTAAAAAATACCTGATTTTTACTATAAAAAATTATCTGATAATAATTGTAATAAATTAGATCTTGAAATTTTAGAAGCTACAACAAATAATTACCAAATGCATTTAATTATAATTGCTTTTACTAATTTAGCTAACAATTCTTTACAAAATACCCAAGTAATTAAAACAATATAAAATATAATTTATAATTCACTGTTTGATTATTGAAATAACCTGTAATAACTGGTTTGTTAATATAGTTTTTGAATCTATACTTAAAAATACACTCTGATTGGGATTAAGCAATACAGAAAAAAGCTAAAGCTGAGTTAACACATCATTTTGAAATATTAATTGCTTCAAATTTAGAACAAATAATTGTATTAATACATATAACTTCAAAAAATAGTAATATGTGCTGTAGTTATTTACATTTGTTAATTTTTGGCATCTCTGCAAATAATACTACTTCTGGTTCTTTAGATGAGTTGGATATTACTTGAATCTTATACGAACTCCTATTGCTAAAGATGATATAAATCTATTTAATTGGTGGACAAATTGGAAACTACAATTTCATAATGTAGCAAAATTGGCTAAGAAATACTTATCTATTTCTGCATCTTCTGTGCCTAGCAAAAGTTTATTTTTAGATGCGGGCAACCTTATTATTGCTAAATGTAACTAACTAGATCCAAAACTTGCAGGCAAAATAATGTTTATGAAATGAAATTCTGATGTAATTTAATTGGTTTAAATTTTCTTTGTTATTAATAAAAAATAAATATAAATAGCAATTTTATTTGAATATAATAAATATTAGAATATTACAATTATTAGTATTTAATTATTTATATACTATATCATAAAGATGTGATCTGTTATCTATTTTTGATCCATGTTAACCTTAATTTGAGCTATAAACAGATAATAGTACATATTAGTAATACAATAATATGTTTATTTTACAAACATTTAATTAGTTTCTTATTCTAGATTTTAATTTATACAGGTGACCCGGGTCAGAAAATTGCATCCGGGTCTGATCTCTAATTAAACTCGACCATTTAGATTTTTACAATTAAAAAAATATTGATTCTTTCATTTGATTCTTTTATTTATAAATTAGCTGGATTAGGACACCTTTTGATTGATGACTCATTTACAATTAGTAACGGAACCACTATACCTAAAGGTATATTTATTTTTAAATTCATAATATATTTGTATCTTACAATTAATGTTAACAATTATATAGGTCGCATTATTTACATTTATGCGGAAGATGCGGCTTTCAGTGATAAATTCTATGGAAAAACAATAAATGACTTTCAACCGAAACGACATATAACTTCACATCCTAATAGCAAAATTGTTCACACACCAGCTACAAAGGTTGATAGAACTTTATTAACTTTTGGGGGTGGTAAACGTGTATGCCCTGGTAGATTATTTGCAGTTAATGAAGTCAAGATATGTTTACATAAATTAATTTTAAGATATAATATTAAAACCGAAAGTGGTCAAGTTGATCCCACTAGAACAAAATTTGCTTTTACTCTCCCACCTATTTCTGGATTAGTTTTTGAAAATCGTATTTAGCAATTTTTTCATGTTGGTGGCCTTATTTTTTTTTGTTTTGACAATAATGCACATTATAGTTTATAGTATCGAGACTTGGCATTAGATTCTTTACTATTTTTTTCACTTTAAAATCCCTTTTTATTTTTCTTATGTATGTATGTACTTGGGTGTTATTTTGAGCAAATTTAGAAAAACAATTACTTGAAATAACATGCATGCATATATCTCCCCAATACTACGCAGGTAGGCGTTATTTCGTGACAATATGGTAAATAAAATTGCCTATCACTAGAAATAATTTCTTAAAGCACTATATAAAAATATATAAATTCTATCCTAATAATCATCCGATAATTTTTGTACTCTTAGATTATCATCAGTGTTGTCAATTGCTTGTTCTATTCTTCTATTGCTCTATTCTATTGTTCTATTGTTCTATTTGCCTATTACTGTCAACACTGATTATCATATTTAAGCGTACATACATACAAAAGGTGAACTTTTAGTGAATATACTAACGAATTTTAATCAAAAATGAAAATTATTTTATCAATTATTTTTTTCTGCATAATTAACACTCACAAGAGCGTGTTCGCATTTGTTCCTTCTGGAAGGGCAGAACATAGTGCAGTTCTCATTGATAAAAAGCTTTACTTTCTTGGTGGATGGAATGGAGGATTTGTTTCAGACCAATTATTTTACCTTGATGTCTCGAGATCATTTACTACATTCGACATAAATTTAATGCCTTGGGTTGACCTTTCTTCGATTTCAGGCATAACTTCTAAAACTGGTGCAACAGCTTGTATTGATGAGACTACAATTTATTATATTGGCGGATATCGTATTGGCGGATATCTTAATGGAGGTACTGTCTGCAAATTTGATACACTATCCCTGCAATGGAGTGAACCAATTACTTCTGGATCGATACCTACTCCTCCTTATGAAAGGAATGGAGAAGTGATGAAATTTAGTCAATGCGTAATTTTCGGACATAAAATATATATTTATGGTGGATTTGCCGACCATAATATGAATATATTAGATATTTCACAGCTATATTGGTCTACGTATTTATCGTCACTAGTATATAGTGGGATGTGGGGTTACAGTGCTACATTACTAAATGATTCGATTTTATACATTGGAGGAAAATTTAGTACATTTGGTGGTGGTGGTCAAACTAATTCAAATCATGAGGTATGATATCAAGTTACATAATCTTTATAGGTACTACTATAAT